GAGAGCTGGGATGCGCCACCTGAACTCGCAGCGCAGCGCTTAAATGCATGGTTGACCTTATGGATGTGGAGCTACGTCACAGTCAATGCTGCCTCTCCAGAGTGACTACAGTCTCAGGGCTGTGTGCCGTTACTGTTTGTGCTTTTCAGGTTGGTGGAGAATGAAATGACCGATGATGCAGCTCCACACCTGGCTGACATGATTCAGGCAAACACTGGTCTGACCCACCTGTGGTGAGGACAACACAGCATCAGTCTGCACCCTGTTTACACAGCATGGATCGGAGCTCTCACACAGCTCAGTGTCCTTTGTAAGTCACTGCTTGTTTGTCTGCAGGTTAATCAGCAACCAGTTCACTGTGGAAGGGATCAGGCAGCTCGCTGAGGCCCTCGCTCACAACAAAGCACTCAAAGAAATATGGTGAGCATCAGTTCAAATTGACATCATGTTTCTTTTGTTCTCCCCTCAAGGTTATGTCAGACCAAGCAGAGGGTGGGTGATTATTTGAAGTCCAACTTATTCTGGACACAAACTTAAGCTAGTGAGGGACGGATCGGTAACCGTGAGGCTGTTAAATGCTCTGCTATCACTTCCAACATGAACGAAGACGGGAAACTAAACAGCAGTGATGTTTGCAGGGTTACTGAAGTTGGGCTAGCTCAGACCTTCCCAAAGTGTGGGGCCATTGCAGGGGGGGCGCGGTGTGAAAAGGGGGGAAAAAAAAAAACAAAGCTTGGACACTGCTAGCACGGGCGCCCACACAAACGCAAAGCAGGAGATGAAGCATCGCTGAATATGTTTCCAAACCAACTTCATTCTAGCCAAAGACTAGAAAATATGGTGAAGCAAATCTTCCCTTTGGCTTCACCTGCACAGGTGCTGAGGTAGGTCTCCCTGCAGGACTGGTTTCCCCTGCGTCAGGAGCAGCGCTGGGCTCTTCAAATCACGGACAAACAGGATCCCACATTCTTGATTTTTAGTTCACAAACACTTGTTGTAATGACTAACTGCTCCTGACATGTTGGAGATGTTTGCTCTTTATACAGTAAAGTTACAGCTGGATACAAATAACATCAGGCTGATCCTGCCACGATTTTGTGTTTAAACCCATTTTGCACAGAGAGGCATTTTTTGATTTGATAGCAATGTTGAATATTATTACACAGGAAAAAACAACTACACGTAAAATAATCCCACCGTGACGCCTCTGCCTTTGTAAATGGAGGGACAGTAACTGCGTGTAAACCTGCAGACAGTCAGATTAACAGTATTTTGTCTCTATCTGCTATTCTGCAACTCATCCCATGTAAACAATAACGTGGCCACAGCGTGACGTGGAAAAAGGCGCATACCTCTGACGTTGCGTGACGAACTCTGTATTCCTCGTCCACACGTAAACGCAAAAAAGGAGTTTTAAAAAATAAATCTCAGTTTTCGGCGTGATTACGTGGACGAAACAGCTGCGTGTTCAAAAATACCCGTGCAGGTGCGGACGCAGCGTGACAGAGTTAGTAGTTTATTTTATTACTACCTGTGATTTATTGCAGATTACTTGTATTTGCTTAATTGTTTACTAAATGTTTGAGGTGTGAAATAAACCGCAGTGGAGCAAAACATTTTTCATGTAAAACAAAGGGGGGCCCAGCAAAAAAAGTTTGGGAACCACTGACTTAAAGATTGGATATCCCACCTGCTGTGATGGTTTAATGCGGTACAGATGTTTTTATTATCATTACGTCACATCCTGTTTATGACAGTTAAGATAAATAATATTCTTATAAGAAATAAAATTGTCTCATGTGCACACTACTGTACTTTAATGCGGATCATAAGGGTGGTACGTTAGAATTTATGAGGTGGTACTCATTGTGAAAAGTTTGAGAACCACTGATCTGATCATCAGGCGCCTCTACTGTAAGGTAGACCCTACAATAACGGACTAGTGCGTAAATAGGCTCAAAGGGTGTAGCTCTGCTGATGGCCCTCATTTCTCTGTTGAAACGGACATAAAATAGAGGAATGAAGCTGTCCCAAGTCATTTCAGGTCCAGTAAAAAAACAGGAAATTTCTGCTTTCTTTATTACTGAGGAGGAAGGAAAAACATCATTCAGATGTTCAGCGGAGACAGAATGTATTGATTCATCAGTAAAAGGTCTATTGAGATATTACAGATGATGAATGGAAGAAAAACACAGCATAATCTAAAGTGTCGGGCCAGTACACGCCACCAGAAGTAACTGGTGGTGGGGACGTGTTGATCTCCTCGATCTGGAGCTGAGCTGGATCCACATTGGACCCAGACTAGCAGGGAGATGCCCTCTACAACACTAGGTCCAGCTTCTCCCCGTCACCCGTCTTTGACAGCATCCACAGAGTGAATTGCAGGTTACGTGGGGCCGTCGTTAACGTTGTCCCTGTGAATGCATGACTGGAGTCTGATTGTATTTCTACAGCGTGAAAGGAAACCGGCTCTCTGAAGAGGAAGAGCAGCAGTTTGTGTCGGAGAAGCGGCTGCGGTTCCACTGACTGGGCATCTCACATGACGCATGCATGGAGCTGAGTGAAGGAGGAAGTGCGCTCGGTCCGTGTGCTGGTGTCAGCAAACGGATTTGGTGCAGTTTCACCCGATGCTGCGGGGATAAAGTCGCACCACCTCCATTGTCTGTGTTTTTATTTATTTATTATTCTTAAGCGAAAAACCCAGAATGTTTATTTTTGAAATCTCTGAACGACATCACCGTGTTTCATTTTGGGGACTTTCCCCTAAAATTTCAACAAGTGTTTCACAGTTTTGCACAAAAGTTAGGAAGTGGGAGCTTAAACAAGAAGTATACAGCATGCTGACTTCCTCACATGCACACCTTGTTTTGTGTGTACTGTAAATGCTCTTTTATATTCATCTTACTGTTACACAAATGCTGTTTTTCACTTGATGGTGTTTCAAAGGTCTCGAACTCTTTCCTGTGTTCCTGCGTAGAGGTGACCTAAAGTGTTAAAAGTGTTACAAGAATAAATAAGTGGAGCCCAAACACTCCTGAGTGGCAAATGTGTGAATGCGGTTCCTGTGTCGAACACGGGCAACGACTTTGATTCGACTGTTTCAGATGTGGCCAACACGTCAGTATATCACTACCAACGTGTTTTTGTGTTGGAATGTTTGTGCGTGTTTGTTTAGGAAGAAAACAAAGCAAAATGCTTCATTGTGGTCGATTCAGTTAAAAAACATTGTCCAAGCAGCCGTCTGATTGGTCCAGGTAATCTTTAATAAACAAACAGGCAGCGTGGTCGTTTCAGAGAGCCGGAGCTCCTTACACACAGGTGTCTTGATGTGCATACCAGTGCTGTTCAGTATGAACATTAACCCAGGCTGCTAGCTGCTTGGACCCCACAGGCTAACAGACCTGCATGCTGTGAAATCCTGTTTCTATGGATGCACATACAGAAACATTCAAGCTTGCTATGATTCTTTTGTTGTACAGATTGTTTGTCGGGGCTCAGACCCGACAGTTTGCAGATAAAAAGCATGCTGGGACTGTTTCTCTCGGTGCACACTATCAAACACAGCAGCACCCAGCAGCTCGGAGCCTCTCGTTTGATCTTTGAGTGATTTCTTCTTTTTCTTAGTTGGTTTATTTGTCTCAGCTTTCTGCCACTTACCTGAGTTCAGGTATAAACACACCACACCTTCCCTCAGCAGGCTGTAGTCTGCACCACCACTTACTTTTACTTAGCTTCAGGTTCGTTCTCCTCCCTCGCTCACCATGTGTGGTTTCAAAATGAGAAGATGATGATGGCCAAAATGCTGGGAGCGTCTTGAACCCAGCACATTTACCTTGTGCTTCTTCAGACAGTAGAGACCAAATAACTGGATAAAGTCTGAGACAGGACCGTCTCATATATTCACATTAGAACTGTTTTATTCTTTGGAATAAGCAAAGGTCCAGTATTGATCAGCCTCCATGTGCCTACAGTAATAAGTGCCAGATTTTCTTTTCTTTCTTTCCAGCGAGTTGCAGGCTGTGCAGGGGATTTCTGCCTGCCAGTGCAAACAGGGGAAGCCCCATCGTGGTGACCCAAGTTACACAATAATGCAAAAAACCATTGGAGAACTGAGAATCTGAGGCTGGTCACTGAAAGAGTTCACCCAGCTCCCATCATGGTGTGGACTGTCATTTAGCATCTAATGGGGCGTCACTGCAACTAATAACACCTGTCATTAGTTTAACTTTATTAATCACTCTGTAAGACAGATTTACAGGGCTCTGATTGGATGGCGTTCGGCTGATGTTAGGGTAGATCCTGGCTACAGCCTGGGCTGTGACACACCTCCGTCAGTGTAAATGTATCCAACCATGCAATGAATCCCTCACATATGTTCATATATGAAAGAAGAAGACGTACGTCAACATTATGTCTCAGTTCATCTATACGATCTTTATTGTGGCCTCTTAAAAATTTTGGAACTTTTCTCTTATTTATCTGTGGAGGTCTTTCTCACTAGGAAAGCTGTGAAACGTCAGAAAACAGCCACAGAGTCTGAATCGAGATTAAAGTGTCATCAGAGTATGAAAGGTCACTGACACTGGGTGACTTCGAGTGACGATGGGTGAAATGACAGCTGGTGACTTTGGCTCCTCAGCTTGCTTTTGTACCAGCTGTAAAGCAACGCCAGGCGTGTTTACGCGTGGGTCTGTGGGCTCTGATCAGGAACGAGCCTCACGTGACATTTACAGGAGCTGTAGTTTTTGGATGTGTGCTGATGTAACCAAAGTCCCGTACTGAGCTCAGATATAACGTCATGGCGCCACGTGGCAGAAAGCTCTGGAAATGCTTTGCTACAGAGTTGCAACTATAATTTAACTGCACTCGTAACTTGCTCTCATTTAACGCCAGCCTTTCCCGTAAAAGTTCAAGGATTCAGCGTGGTGTCAGAGCCACTGTGGTATTAGAGGTGTCTGTGTTAAATGATGGAAATACAAAAACCCACACGGACAGGAGAGTGAAACGTCAAAGTCATCTTTTAAGGCCAGATTTGTTGCACATTTCCTCATAAATTCACAGACAGAAATGAAAAGACAGGCGGACCTGCTCACAGGAATCAGCTGCATGATCAGTCAGGGGAAAGTGGTTGTAATCTCTTGCAGAATTCAGATCAGAGAGAGAGATGACGGTACAGTCAAAGCCCCGTGAGATGTCCATCAAGCAGCCACGTGGTCGCTCTGTCGCTACAAACGCACCGATCCTGCCTCCACGCACTGTGCGAAGGGAGCGTGTCACCGGGCTCGGTTAATCTCCGTGTGGCCGTCCGATTTCCAGAATACAGTGTGACGATTCAGCAGTCATGAGTGCGCCGGGGTGGATCCCAAAACTCCAAACGCCCACCAGAGAACCACACTAGCTTCAATACATTCAACAACGACAGTAAAGCAGCTCAGCAGGACTCCCAGCTGACTCACGAGACGTGTGTGTGTTCAGTGAGGGACCGTGTGAAAATGGTCAGTGAGAGGAGGGGCTACAGGGGTCGCGTGTTCTGCACTTCTGTCATTTGCTCATGAAAACTTTTAATGATGTAAAAAGTTTACATTTCACAGAGTCCAGTGTCATCTTAAAAAACGTCATACTTTCACAGAATACACCCCCGACACACACATTACATGTCATGGAAGACACGGTGAACGCAGCAAGAGTCACAATACAAAGCAAAGTTAGCACGATCATAAAAAACATGATTATAAAATCTTTTCAGCCATTGAATCATTTTTGGGAGATACAAAAACCAAACAAACTGCTGCCTGTGATTCTTTTTACAGATTTATATAAGCACAAAATGAATGTTGACTTAGCACAAATCAGTGAGCGTTTGAGGAATGTGTAGGAAAGCAATAATAAAACGTAAACCATGGTTATTCTATTAAAACCATTTTCCCTCCCTCCGCACCGCCATCATTTTCTCACGGTCTCTAAGATCACAGACGACGCAGGAACCTTTCATGTCCTGCTTTCATGATAAAAATCTCAAAAATAACGTCAAGCACATCAAGATCACAAGTGAGAGCGCACTGCCTCCCAGTGGTGGAGAGCAGCAACTACAGAAACTGCAAAACAAAAAGGATCCTGTCTCTACAGACTAGAAGGCACACATCTAAACAGACATGTTTCTGTCTCCCATTATTCTCATATTTAAAACAATATATTAATGTTTGATTTCAAACACTTTACTATGTAAATAAGTTCAATTACCAAAATGACAAATCTTAAAAAAACCTCGGGTTTGTAGCCAGTCTCCACCTCCATAACACGATGCAGCTTCTGCATGATTTCAAGCATAAAAAGAAAATCCCAAATATCACTTATAACTGCATATTGTTCATTTAATGATGATAATTACAAGATGAGAAACTAGTCACAGAAGCCTGGAGGTCACTGAGTGGCTGCCTGGTGTTGCGAGAGAAAAACGTGTGTTCTCTGATTGGTGGGTGAGTGGTAGTCAGTGGTCACAGAGAGGTACAGGCTGCTGCTGTGGTCACTCGCAGTTTGTATGGAGGTCGCTGACTTGTCTTCATTCACTAACGACTTACCGATCATCTAAAGGTGGCCACGGCAATCTGCTCGCAACCAGAGCAACTGGAAGGAGGTTTTTGGTGTAGCATCCTCTTTGCAACCCCCAGCAAACGCTCACAGACTGACTGCGCAATCAGGAAGGGTGCATTTAGTCTTCACAGGCAAAAGAGACTGAGGGAAAAGGATGACAAGTTTCAGGTGTTTTGGAGCTTTGGGATCCACACAAGCCCTGGATCAGTAGATGGGTTTGAACTTAGCTCGTCCTCCAAGGCTGAGCGTGAGCTTGTTGGTGAAATCAGTATCAAGGACTTGACTGGTTCCTCAGCGAGGTCTTCAGGCACACCTAACCCCAAACAGACAGGTCCAGTTAGTCCCTCCAGTTCTGTTTAGCTTACGTTCCCTCAGCCTCAGCACCTGGACTGCTGCATTAGCCAGGATCGAGATCAAGTTGCTGACTCCCAGTGTGACGGTCAGTGCCTGAAAAAGCTTCACAGAGCTCACTGCTTTCCTGGGACCTTTATAGTCCTGCAGCTCCTCACAAGTAAACTGTCTCAGTCTGGTGCAACACTGTACTGTGAGGGCTCGGTTTACCTGCAGCTGCTACGGTTATGATGCAGAAATGAACACGAGCTGACAGATGTGATAAAAAAAACTGAAGCTCATTTTTACAGGAAGGAACACAAAGCTAAAAACTGAAGGTCTTGAAAGGTTTTCCCACATTGTCTCGTTACCAGATCCGTCCATGATGGAACGAGACATTATTTATGTCGAGACATATTCTGTTCACGCGCTCTTTACCCTGGTGTTGAATAAGCAGGTTCATGCAGGTTCTGCAGCATGCACTGGAGCCGTTTGCAGCCTGGATGTTATACCTCAAGATCCTGGTGCTTTGCTGGAAAACTACAGACTGACATCTGCTGGTGGGGACAAAGTATTTCAGGTCCTGATGAAGTTGAGTCTGGTCTGTGGAGGTGAACGTGATGTCTGAAAGTGAAGCTCCAGCTTTACTAGCAGAGGGTTAAAATCTCCATCCATCCATTTTCTTAACCACGTATCCAAAAGTCGGGCTGTAGCCTTTTCCAGCCAGGAATGTGGGCTAACTTGAGGGAAAGAAGAGACTCGGACGGGGAAGAACTGCTCCCCGTGTGGACGCGGCTGAAGTCGGATAAGCAGTTAAAAAACAGGATGGGTGGATTTTTAATTTAGTCTCATTTTGCCACATGCTGTCGTGTCCCATTGTTCTGGCATGCACAACACTTATCGTGTCACAGAAGTAGCAGCAATGTGCTGCAGTGGGTTTAGGCTGGTGAGTGATGGACTGGGCTCCTGTACCTGTGTGGGCGGGGTCTAAAAAGCACTGATGACTGAGTGTTTGACAGTATTCACAGTTGACTGGCACCGTTTTTGCAGCAGCACTGTCAGCTGCGAGAAGCTGCAGACGCAGACACGCCGTCTCTGGCTTGTTTCTCCTGCTTGGGTAGAATGGCAGTTGTGGTAAGATGGTCCTGGTGGTGGTGGGGGTTGTAGGGCGTTGGGTGGAGGACAGCCGGCTCGGCCGTAGTCTGGACTCCCCTCTGTCCTGGCTGCTGCGTGCCGAGCGTCGCTACAACAAGGCACTGGGAGACACTGATGCTGACGGAGGAGGGGAGGGGGCGAGTCGGAGCGCGTCAGCCAACAGTCTCCCTCCTCCATACTGGTGTATACTGGTGATGCCCCGAGCATCAGGCTGGAGGAGTCTGTCAACTCTGATGCTGAGTGTAGATGTGCAACTTAAACATAAAACACACAAGTTTGTATCCCTGAAGATTGCTTAAATGAGATTTGGCACACTGTGGTACTACATTATTGGGTGGGTGGGTTGTGGGAGGAAGGGTGCTAACTGATCACAGTGGTCATAGAGTCCAGCAGAGTCCCTGAATCCAGGGATTTCATTTTTGCAGATCCCTCTGGGGACGTCTCATGTTCCTGAAATCACACAGAAAAGAACCAGATGCTGACATTTAAAAAAAATACCATCTTTACGTCTGTGGATGTGGATTTTACCTGTGCAACGAAAGCTTTAATCCGATGGATGCTCAGGACAGGACCTGTTCACCTCAAACCACTCGTCGATACAGCTGCAGGAGAGAAAACAAGATGGGAGGAGTCAGTGAGACAGTGTGAGAAGAGCGATGCCGCCCGAGTCATTCCGCCACGATGCACCTCATCAAACTTTACACCTACGGCTATTTTCACTTGGTCGTGTGGTACAAAGCTTTGTTAACACTGGAACATTTACCCGTGCACCTTGTCCCTGGCATTAATAAAGTAAACCTCGTAGAGCTCATGAAGTCCATTTTGCTGCGTCTGGCGACACCTGCTGGTGTGCAGTAGTCTCGTCACATGTACATGTAGTGGACCGTGTTGGACTTGACCCACTCAGGCTACAGAAAGCACACGTGTTTCCTCTTTCAGAGCACCACAGTGGGGTCTGATGTAATGTATCGAAAATGAAAGAACAAAGCAGTTAAACACTTTCCTCCTTCAAATGATTGGAATTCAAAACATTATTATTAACTATCAGCAAACATGCCTTACATACTTACAATATCCTCATGTATTTATGTATGTAGAGCCACACTTTAAAAGGAACCAAACACCTGTGTCCAGTTCATTACAAACACAGATAGCATTCATATGAAAAACAGCTGTTGGTTAGTGAAGCCTCAAAACCTCAGGCTGACGGTTTTCACCACTGCTCTTGGTGCCTTGAAGGCTGATGCAACCCTCGCATTTCATTAGCCAATGAGTGCTCCCCGGTTTATCCTGCTTTCTGACTATAACTTACAAAATGAACCTCATGTTTTCTACAATCTGACCTCAAACTACCAGCCGAGACCATAAAGTCACCTGGGCAGTGTTTGCTGAGGTCAAACTCGGAGAAGGAGTCACCCATCGCTGGCCTTTAAAGCATTTTAGCATTCATAGGTCAGACTTGTCCATCTTTTAAATACAGTCTTTGCCTGAAACTACTGAAAGCTCAAAGGTGAAGTAATGTTCAGTGGTGTGGGTGCCGTCATATCAACGGATGTCTGTGTCTGCTGGTCTACACTTTAAGTTTGTAGCATCTCTGAAAGGGCAGCAGCCAGAAAAGGCCAGATTCATGTTCAGTTATTAAAGAAGGACTAAAATTACCACGTGGCTATAAAACTGCAGCCAAGACATGATAAAGTCTGGGGTTGATTTTAAAACAGTGAGCTGATACCAGCTGACAGGCCAGTTCAGTAAATACTGAAGGTAATATCAATAAATCCACTTTAAGCCCAATCTAGGCCCTCTGTGCAATAACGTGACAGCGCCACAGTGTGCATGACTCAAGTGCTCGTCCCTCGCTGTCAGCACGACTGTTCTTTTTAACCCTGAACCTCATTTTTGCATCAGTTTAAACTGACACTGCTGCTTCCTCTTTTTGTTATAGCCGTGTTTGCGTGCTGCTCTCATTTCATGATGAGTGACAAGAGCCACACACCACTATGCAAAACACATCCCTCCTCTGAAGCTGGCTTAGGCTTCAGCAGTCAAATCAAGTGGGTATCTTCCAAAGTTAGGAGTGCTCGCTCTTCTGTTTTACCGCCTCTCTGACTGATCTCAGCACAGGAACACTTTTAGGGAGGGAACTAAAGAGGGTTTGTTCAGTGCAGCCAGATATGAGCGTGAGACTGGAATCGGTAAGATCAATAAGAACATCCCAGCATTTCTTTGCCTAATCTTCACAAGTCGTCACTGTGATGGAAATGCAGACAGTGAAGTGGCTGAAGCAAGCTTGTATGTCCTTAAAAAGACCTCCGAACTGTGTCGCTAAGGCCACGCCTCAGCTGGGACCACTATACTCAGCTGGGACCACTATACTGCTACTGTACTATTAGATGAAAAGGAAAACAAACGAGGTTCTAACCCTTTATGGTAGATGCAGAGGCAGGGCAGGCGAGCGATGGTGTCTCCCTGTTGCAGCTCCTCCAGGCAGATGGCACATTCTCCTGCATCCCGAGGCAGGACATCCTCTGGAACACACACACACACACACACACACACACACACACACACACACACACACACACGATTGGGATTATAGGGTGACTCATAACACAACACACAGCCTCTGTTGGCAAAACAGAGCTGCAGTAAAATCTAGTGTGTTTAAACCAAAGTGACCATGTGATCTTTCTTAATTAGTGGTTGCGTGAGTGTAAAAGCAGAGACGGCGTGCAGGTTTCTGTTGTACTGTAAGTTAGTATTACAGCGCACCCACACATGTCCATACTGGTTTTGACAGTTCAACAATTATATTTACATAAAGGTCATCCTGACAAAATTGTTCAGAGATACCGACAGTGGGGACACATTTCAGTGTTTCTGTTTACTAGGTGTGCACGGTGCTATTCTTATATCTCAGTCAGGACCGTTGTGTTTTGGGAAACGCAGCTCTGTCCTTGGTCCTCCCTGTAAGAAGATCTCAGCACAGAACACAGCAGGCATCAGCGGTAATGATATTATTACTGACAGCATTGAAAGAGGTGGAGCTGGGCTGCAAAGTGGCTTGCAGATATGCAACAACTCCTGTTAGGCTAAAACGGCTTAAAAAGCCCAACCTGTGTGAGGTTTACGCAGGAGGGGATCAGCTGATATGGGCAGGCTCTGGGATCAGCTGATCTGCCGGGACTGCGTGGAGCTCGACTTCATGACCTGTTTGAACTGAAGCGTTGCCTGATTTATATAACGTACAAACGCATCGTCCATGAGATCACTCCATGTATTCCTTTAAAACTTTTAGGATCTTGACACAAGAAATACGGGAACGCAAACACATGAGAAGGGTTTTTGGTGGCAATCAGAGGCAACGTGATTAGGATGTGTGTTGCAGGCTGTTCTGGATGATCGTGATGTGTAGAGAGCTAAAGTCATACTGTTCAAGCAGCTGAAATTTCTAGATTTCCCTGAATGCAGCACGACTTTGTCAGAAGCATTTAAATCTTTATCTATCAGTGTTTCCACACTCAGTTTTGTACTGTGGGTAGGAGGCTGCCGGATAGCCTCCACCTCTGCTCAGCGCTCCTTACAGTGTGCGAGGTTACTGTGTGTGTGTTCATGCTATGAATAGCATGGGTCCGGCTCTAGAGTGGAACTCAGCATGTGCACCATTAAACCCATCACCTGCAGCAAAACACGCAGTCATTAGGATTGGCCTTATGTAACAGTGGATTAACCCACATAGGCCTGCAAAAGCCTGTTATTATGGGCAGCAGCACATGGCATCCAGCTCAGCTGAGGGCAAAAGCATCTTTAACACACTGACAGTCGGGGCGGGGCAGCCAGTCAGTGAGAGGTTTGTAATACTCATGCAGATGATGTTTGCTTCAGCTGCAGAGGGCCTCTGTCCTGCCCCATCAGTGAGGCCGCTGTCTGTCTGTGCATCCACATGTATGTTTGTCAATTCTGCATACGCACGCAAAAGAGTGTGGGCGAGCATGAGAAACTAAAATCAAAATGCTGGTAGCTGTCAGTTCTCCCTCTCAGACTCCTGGCAGATGACCTTATTGAATCAATTTGAAAATCCTAGAGGATGAGATGATGTCTTTTTGAGTTGTCGGACATCCTGCATTTTCAGAGAACTGATATTTGAACTCGTTTAGTAGATGCGACCATGGTTTCAATGTGAAAGTCCCACGTCACCTTGTTCCTAAGTTATGATGTTCACAAAGATGGTTTCCACCCAATGAGCTCACATTAATACCCCACCAGGCCTTTACAGGTGAGGGGCAAAATCTGCACACCGTGTCGAATCAAAACCAGTAATCTGTTGTTACCATGTCCCTGGGACTGTGATGCACACGACCCCAAAACAGCTGCCCTTCATGTCATATTCCATTTACTGCTGATAGAGCAGGGCGATATGACCAAAAATATTTATCACGATATACATTTGAAAATTTGTGATGACGATATAACTGACGATATAATTGACACAAAATACTTTACAACTCCACAACCTTATTAGTGCAAAAAACCATCAGTGTATTTTCACTGAAACAAGCAGCTGTTTTTTACATTAAAGTTATATAAAAACGTAACAGTGCAAACTCCTGTCTGACAGTTTAACCAAAAGGCATTTCCAGTGGAAACTGGCCGACACATCCTCAGCATAACCATGTATAATATCCACACAACTTAAAAAGAGGTTATACACACACACAATAGGGCTTGGAGCGTGATGTCACGGGGGTGGGCGTGGAAAGGATTTTGGCCCGATTCCCATTTTGGGGGTCTAAGCTAGGAGCGAAAGCATAGCCATGGTTCGTACTTGCTGTGTGCTCGGCTGCAATGTTCGATCTTACGACCGGCACGGGAATAAGGTTGGATTGTCTTTTTATGCTTTCCCAACCTGGAAGCGACATGAGGCAGCTCGTGTATCGATGTTACCAAACGAAGGCGTCCAGCCTGGAGAGCAGCTGTGAGACGAGCTGACGTGCAGCTCTCTTCCATCTCCAAATATCTGTTGGTGCTCCAGACATTTTCATTCCGGTAAGTTCTAAATATGTTCATATCACTCTTTATAGCCTATTAGTTTCATTTTCGATGCGCTCTGAGCTCATAGCAAATTAGAACAAACATCCTACTGAGTGATTTTGCAGAACTACCTTCTATTTATAGAGTTGCTAATTATTTGGCATTATTGCAGCAAACCAGCCATGAAATGGATGAAACATCGATGACTGGTTCCAGCGCTACACAAGGGACCTGCTTCAAACATACCACCATGCCAATCAGATTACTTCTTCCATGTGAGGGTGAAGAGGTGACCCTCCTGGATAAGATGGTGAAGGTTTGCTGCGTTTGGTGAACAGTGTGATAATAAAACCAGGAGAAGAATGAAACCTGCTCCTGTTAAATATTCTTAAGTCTTGTGCTGTTATTTTTTCAAAAGATACAGTAAATAAAGTAATGTTAGTAGTGGGTGATATCATGTAAACACTCATGATTTAGGTGTAAACATTTTGTCATTTGTAAACTGTAAATGACATGGATCTACACTGTAACTGATGTGATGTTCTATAAAGTGGTTTTAAATAAAAAAAAAAAGGCAAAATTATATTTAGTTTCTTTATTCAACTTTTGAAAGCGGGACTCAGTCAGACAAAGGCCCTATTTTTTTCTTCATAGTCATTTAACACGGTTGAGAAACGTCGCAGAATATACGTATGATATTTCACGGCAGCTGCACTCAGGCATACATCTAGACGCCTAAAAAACATAAGCATTATAAGCAGTGGACGAACTCCTCCACAGTAAGCAGTGTGGTGGAGTTTTTCTGTTTTTGAAGGCTCTTTGGTTCCCTGTCACTAGACAAGATGTGTTAGAGTTTGCATCGACTTTTTGGCTAGTGCTGTAGAGTCTTTGCTTAAATGGCAGGATAGACCTTTGTCTCTCCTTTGTATTGGGCAGCTGAAGAGGAGAAGTCTATCTTATGGCCAACCTCTGGCTGTATCTTGGTCACATTACCCAGCAAACCCAGTATGCAGGTTCATGTGTAACAGTCCTTGTGCCACGGATCAACACTGTTCCATCTACTTTAGACAGAAGAGCAGCGACATGGCTGCAGGTCTCTGCGACTCCGGCCATGCAGCTGCAGCGGGCGGCTTCAACCTTCCCTGTGATGCTCACAGTGACCCATGGCTGCAATGCTGGTTCATTCAGTCTTAGAGTGCAGCACCTGAAACACACACAAAGTTCATTTAAAGACAAGAACTATGAGCCAAGGCTGACACAAATGTGTTTTATCTACTTTATCATAAATGTAAAAAGTGTTTAGAAAGTTAGCACAGAATTCATTTTTCATTTCTTTATGTGTCCATCTATAGAACGCTGCAGGTTATAGTCTAAATCTGTCTGTTCTGTCAGAAACCTGCCTGCAGAAAATGAACCTAAAGTATGTAATGCAAGGATGTCATCACTGTAGAGATGGAGAAAGCATAAAGTGACAATTATGAATCACTTAATATGATAAGGAGATTCTGCAGGTCATTGATCAATATATAAAACTAAAATAAAATGTATTTTTAGTGACACAAGATACAAATATGGAAGCAAGATGTGTAATTAGGATTATTTATAATAAATATGAATAAAACATTGCAATTTCTTTAACCATAAAGAATAACTAAATGCTTCAGGACAATGTCTCATCAATGCACTGAACTCACTATGTTATCCCTCTAACAGCCTCCACATGTTCTCACTGTAATTTCCCCTCATGAATGAATTTATGCTGCACTAATGTGAATGTTTGCAGGGAAATCAAACACATTTTACACGCAGTACTCGAGCTGACTTACCTTTGTTTGAATGACCACTTGTACGCGCTGACTCCACAGACAAGGTATGAAATATGTCAGGCTACGTCAATAGCGGTTGGTCTTCAGGGTTTCTACTCCACGGCCGTATTTCATACGGGTCCACATTTCCACTGCAGCTATTTTCTGCAAGTACCGCCGCTTCGCCTCTGGACGCAATCGGTCTCTATACAGTCCATTCTCGTTTGAGCAGCTTTTAAGCATCTTGTAATCGTCGTTCCAACACAGTGTGTTTGTTTTGATTCGTAGACCCCGAAAATGCCGCCGCGCTCCCACAATGCATTGCGGCGTGACGTCAACTCCGAAGCCCTATACTGTTGAAGCACAGTACGTATCACTCCGCCTACGATAGCCGTAATGCTCCGACAATCCACCAAGCGGTGCGGCTTCGTAGCTCAGCAAAGTCGTACTGAAACATTTGACAGATTTTCGAGCGCCGTGCACATAAAATCGTTTCGAGGTCAGTAAACACAACCAGAGTTCATACATAAGGCACACGGGATTATAAGGGGCTCTGTCGACTTTCAGAAAAATCAAAGGATTGATTTTAAGTGCGCCGTATTTTCCAAACAACACGGTAATAACGACGGCCCGCTAGCATGCGCTACCAAAAATAGTGCTTTGTTGTGTGTCTGACGGACGAAAGCTAAACC